AGCGCTTCGGCTTCACATACTCCTCGCCTCAGGCCACTCCTCGGTCTACTCGCCACTCGCTCTCAGCTCCGCCTCACCTACGTAGCCTCTGAGGCCAACACTGCTGATATCTTCACCAAGGCCCTTCCGCCTTGTGATCATCAGCGCTTCTGTACTTTGCTAGGTCTTGTGCCTACCTGGCCTCACATGCTCACTTCTTGATCTTGTTTGTACTGTTTACCTCTTTCTATACCTGAACTTTCTTGTTTACCTTTATATACATGACCTTGCATGTGAACTGGCCTTGTGGCCTTACTCTTGTGCTCGGACTGTGTGGTGACTTTGTGATCCACCCTGAGCTTGCTTTGCTTTGCTTGACTGGTCTTGTGACCTCTTGTTCTCCCCCACTTTGCCTATGGGGATGTGTCAGAACATTATGGGGTACAACCCAATCATGGTTGGTACTTGTACCCAACTCTTTCATAGTTCAATCATTCCTCATTTCTTCATACGTTGAGCAAGCGGGCGTTTGCTCGGTGCCCATCCGGAGTGCCGGGTACCAGAAGGAGCGCATGACCGTGATGTTGGCTTGCACGGCGGACGGCGCCAAGCTCAAGCCGTGGGTTTTTTTTAAGAGGAAGACGCTGCCAAAGGGCGGCTTTCCGCCTGGTAAGTGATGTTTTTTAGACGTGTGTCACACGTTTTTGCTTTGCTGTTTCATTAATTTCTTGTTTCACAGCGATGTTTATTGTGCATATGTTGTCGTGGCGTGCCACAAGAACAGGTGGATGTACTTCGCGGGCGTCATTCACTGGCTCAACGAGTGTGTCAAGCAGTTCTTGAAGCTGTCTTTCGGTCGGCACTCCAAGAGCTCCATGTTGGTTCTCGACTCCTAGCGCGGGCACCTCACCAAGGGGGTGAAGAAGAAGTTACGCATGATGAAGTGCGTGCCGGCGATCATCCCATCGGGCTGTATGGGGGAGATTCAGCCCCTCAACATCTACGTCAACACGAGCTTCAGGGCCTCCATCCGTCAGCAGTATCAGAAGTGGTTTCAAGAGGAGGGTCAAGAATGATAAGAAACGAGGAATGAATGCATTGAGCAGAATGAGGAGTACAAGTAGTAAACCCTAAAATGTTGTACACCATATGAACTGCCCCACTACAGCCTACACAGACTACAGCATATATGCCTGACACACCCCCATAGGCAAAGTGGGGGAGAACAAGGGGTCACAAGACCAGTCAAGCAAAGCAAGGCAAGCTCAGGGTGGATCACAACGTCACCACACAATCCGAGCACAAGAGCAAGGCCACAAGGCCAGTTCACATGCAAGATCATATATATGAAGGTAAACGAGCAAGTGCAGGCATAGAAAGAGTACAGTACAAACAAGGTCAAGAAGTGAGCAAGTGAGGCCAAGTAGGCACAAGACCTAGCATAGCACAGAAGCGCTAATGATCACAAGGCGGAAGAGCCTTGGTAAAGATATCAGCAGTGTTGGCTTCAAAGGCCACGTAGGTGAGGCGGAGCTGACCACGATGCTGCAGCTCACGAGCCAGGAACTAGCGAAGAGCAATGTGCTTCGTTCTGTGCTCCAGTCTATGCTCCCGGCACAAGGCCAGCATGGCCTTGTTGTCTACGTACAGAACTGGAGGAGAACGAGGCGGCTCTCCTAGGTCAGTCAGCAGGTAGGTGAGCCAGCGTAGCTCCTGTGCAGCCATGGCCCCAGCGTAGATCTCAGCCTCACAGCTGGAGCTGAGAACAGAAGACGAGCGGATAGACTGCCACGAAACAGAGCCGGAGACAAGGCTGAAGGTGTAACCCTGTGACGACCGCTGCAGAGCCTGGTCGTCAGCCAAAGAAGCGTCTGCGTGACCTGTGAGGACCACTTGACGTCGCCCTCCAAGCACGAGCCCCATGCTCGACGTATTGCACACGTAGCGCAACACCCTCTTCGTTGCAGCCATGTGTTGTGGTCGGTGTCTCCCAGGAGCAACATAGCGTGCCAAGATGCTAAGAGGGTATGCAAGGTCAGGTCGTGTGCAGGTCATCAGGTACATGAGGCAGCCAACAAGCTCTGGGTACGGGCCACTCGGCTCCACGGACTCATCCGAAGGCAGAGTTGAGAGCGAGTGGCGAGTAGACAGGGGAGTGGCCTGAGGCGAGGAGTACGTGAAGCCAAAGTGCTGAAGGACCTGCTGCACCATGTGTGACTGAGTCACGGTAATGGTGCGCTGTGCTCTGTCCCGGGTGATCTGCAAGCCAAGGTAGCTGCGCAGTTCACCCAGGTCTGTGCACGTGTGTCTCTTCTGCAGCTCAGACTTCACGTGGGCGAGTCCAGCAATGTCAGCAGTGGCAAAGACCAAGTCGTCGACGTACACGAGGATGTAGAACGGTGGCAAAGAGGTGTCGGTGCGCAGAAACATCGACGGGTCGGCAGTAGAAGGAGCAAACCCAAGAGCCGCAAGTGTAGTGCTTAGTGTGCCGTGCCACTCACGGGGCGCCTGGCCGAGACCGTAGACTGGCCGCCAGAGGCTCCACTGGGTACCAGGAGGAAACGACCCAGTGAAGCCAGGTGGGCGGCGCAGCCAGATCTCCTAGTGGAGGCTGCCCTGCAGGAAAGCTATGTTGAAGTCGAGAGAGTGAAGCTCGTAGTCGCGCTAAGCGGTTATGTGCAGCAGCACCCGAAGAGTGGTCATCTTCGGGGTGGGAGAGAAGGTCTGAAAGTAGTCAACTCCCTGCCGCTGACTGAAGCCTCGAGCCACGTAACGCGCCTTGAAGACAGGCGGAGAACACGGCGGCCGCTTCACCCTGGAGGAGACGGCAACGGGACACGAAGGGGAGCAGTAGAAGGACGCAGTGCCATCTGGTGTGTGCCCGGAACCGCAGGAGGACGCGGACGTGGAACACGACGACTAGTACGAGCAGTGCGAATAGGCGACGCAGGACGAGACGCAGGCTCATGACACTCAGCAAGACCTCCAGTAGGACCAGTGTAGGGAGAAGGAGCATGTAGGGGGGAGGCGGGCTGTAACTGTGATTGCGACTGGACAGGCTGTGGACACTCTAAGGGAGGAGCAGGACCAGCAGAAGGCGGGAGACCAAGAACCTGCTCAAGGAGTGGAACGATGTACGGCCGCGGCCGCGCAGCGCCTCCAGAACCAGCAAGGACAGCACTAGTACCCCCAGCGGTAACACCAGCGCCAGCAGCACCTCCAGCTCCAACAGCGCCAACTCCAGCACCCTCACACGCACCAGCGCCAGCAGAACCACCAGCGCCAACACCCCCAGGAGCTCCACCTCCAGCAACTCCAGCAGCACCAACTCCAGCCGGACCAGCAGCTCCAGTACCGCCAACAGCTCCAGCAGGACCAACTCGAGCAGCCCCAGCAGCACCCCCAGGCCCAACAGCTCCAGCATCGCCAGTACGAGCACCTCCGGGACCAGTAGCAACAGTCGTACCTCCAGCTCCAGCAGCACGGCTCCAGCGCCGGGCAAACCACTCGTGCAGCTCCTGCGGAGAGAGTGGCTCCCGCCTCGACGAAGCACCGCCGGCGGCCACACGAGCAGACCCAGCGACCCCAGGCTCTGTGCACAACAGAAGGCCAGAGGAAAACTCTCCGCCTCTGTCGGAGTGCAGACGCAGAATAGGAAAGTCCGAGCCAAAACTCTCTCTGAGTTGGAGACGAGCTGCGCCGATCCAGTCGATCAGCACCTCAGTGACGTCACCCTTGCTGCGCATGGGAAAGACTGTGGTGTAACGCGAGTAGTCGTCAACCACCAGCAGAAAGTACCGCTCATGCCCCTGGCCACGGACGCGTGCGGGGCCCCACACGTCCATGTGAAGAGTCTGCAACGGAGCCTCTGTCGGAGGAAACTCGGAGGAGTGAGGGGAGGCGCACTGCCGCCCCTCGACGTAGGGAACGCAGATAGGGGCAGGCCCCGGAGGTAGGGGAGGGAGGGACCTGGGGAGACCAGAGAGAAGGACACGGGAGGCCATGCCTCGGAGACGAGGCAGGGAGGGGTGACCAAGGCGGTGGTGCCAAAGGAGAGTCTGGTGAGACAGGAGACGACACGAGCAGGGAGCAGACTCAGGACCAGGCCTGGACGCTGCAGCAAACACCTGACTCGACGCAGCGACCTTACCAGGCTCAGCAGTCGAAGGAGACTCAATAGTGAGGGTGTATAGGCTCGACCCCGGCCGACGGGTGAACGTGGCCAAGTGGCGGCCTGTCCGAGCACACGTGCAGTGGGTCACCCGCTGACTTGCAAGAGTGAAGTGGTCAACCCCCCTATCCTGTAGATCAGCTCCACTCACCAAGTTCGTAGAGAACGAGGGGAGGTAGAGACCTAACCGAGTGCCAGAGGGCGCTGCCGGACACGGTAAGACAGTGGAGAAGCGAGCAAGGACAGGACCCCCAGAGGTGTCCGCCAGGGAGACCGCAACCGGCCGACTAAGCGGCGTATGTATGGTGCGGTCCCGAAAGAAGGAGCGGGAAGCACCCGAGTCAAGGGTGAAGGTGTGTAAGGCCTGAGCCGACGTGGTACCTGAGAGGGCATACTCACCAGCACCTGGGGCAGCAGACGCACTAGCACCTAGAGCAGCAGCCTCACCAGCACCTAGAGCAGCAGGCTCAATGCCCGGGTCAGGTGGAACACACAGGTAACAGTCACCCTCAACACTATCTGCAACAGTATACATGGCAGCAAGAATAGCATCAAAATCAAGATCAAAGATAGCAACCCCCGCCCTAGACAGCTCTCCCCAGCGAGGGATCTTAGAGGCCTCAGGGAACTGGTGACGCCACACGTCCGTCAGGCAGCCGAAGCAGCGCGAGGTGGAGTGCGGGCCCCCGCACTGCTTACCAGCGCGGTCGCCGGTGCGGAGAACGTAGGTGCAGGGACCCGTACCTCCACCGCGCTGACGCGCAGCGTACCACTCACGAAGCTGCTGAGGGGACAGGGTCTCACGACTGCGCTGCTGCTGCTGGCGCGTACCACCACCGAAGCCACTCCTCTACGCAGAGCCGCGACCAGGTCCACTGCTTCCGCCGCCGCCTCCGCCACCTCCGCCGCCTCCACCACCTCCGCCGCCTCCGCTCCCTCCGCCACCACCGCCGCCTCCTCCGCCTCCACTGCTGCCACCGACACCTCCACCCCCGCCACCACTCCCACCACCACCCCCACCCCCTCGACTGCCTCCACCACCACCTCTACCGCCCCCGCCAGCCCCTCCAGCGCCCTTGCCCTCCTTGCCCTTGCCGGTGCTGCGTCTCCCGCTCGGGGCAGACGCAGCGCCGACCGACTCGAAACCAACGAGGTCGGCCGCAGCAGCAGAGGCAACAGAGGGCAAGAGGGGGGAGGGGGAACACCCCTCAAAGACGGGGTTGCGAGGGTCACCACGAGAGGCTCCTACAGCGACTATGCTCTTCTTTGCTGCTAGGAGGCCCTTCTCAAGGAGGTCAACGGTGAGTGTGGTGGGGCAAACTGAGAGGAAGTGGTCCCTGACTACGCGGAGAGAGTCTGGGAGTCGGGTGACTATGTAGTAGAGGGTGATGTATATGGGGGGGGGGGTTCTTGGCGCAGAACTCAGTAGGAAGCGCAGCGCGGTAGCGAGTGTCACTAGTGCACAGGTGCGTAATGAGGTCAGCGACTGTGGGAAAGGCAGCAAGGTCAGCGAAGAGGTACGGTAGCATGAGGCGGCTCAGTGCAGCAGTGGCAGGGGAAGAGTAGCGTGCAACTACAGCGTCGTACAAGGTCTGAGCACTCTTGTACTGGCTAAAGTGTGCACGCTCAGTGGTCGGTTAGTGGCGACGCACAGCAAGGCGAGCAGCAGCATCGCGTGTGGCCCACTGTGTGCGAACAGTGCTGTCAGCAGTAGCAGGCGGGGCAGGAGAGGCACCTGAGGTGAGATCGAACAGAGAGAGTCCGTCTGCCCTATCGCACTGGAGAAACAGGTGGAGGTCATCGACCCAGACCTCAAAGTCAACGGCACGGCCCTCAGCATCAAAAGTAAGGACACTGGGGGTAGCCATGACTGCAGTGGCCTAGTAGGGAGTGAGCTCACCAGTCCGTGGAAGGAGGGCCGGGGTGCACCGGTAGGAACAGCAGCGGCTCGACAGTAGGGCGGCTCGGCGGTAGGGCGACTCGGCTGCTCGGCGGCTCGGCTGCTGGGCGGCTCGGCGGCTCGGCTGGTGGGCGGCTCGGGTGCTCGGCGGCTCGGCTGCTGAGCTGCTCGGCTGCTGGGCGGCTCGGCTGCTGGGCGGCTCGCCTGCTTGGCAGGTGGGCGGCTCGGCTGCTGGGCGGCGCGGCAGCTGGGCGGCTCTGCTGCTGGGCAGCTCGGCTGGTGGGCGGCTCGGTTGCTGGGCTGCTCGGCGGCTTGGTCGCTGGGTGGCTGAGCGGTGACACGGCCGGTAGAGGCGGCGACGTGGCCGCTAGGGGAGGGCGACGGGGCCGCGGGTGACGGCGACGGGGCCGCAGGTGGCGGCGACGGGGCCGCAGGCAGCGGCGACGGGGCCGCAGGTGGCGGCGGGGCTGCAGGCGGCGGCTGCGTGGCCGTAGTTGGCGTCGACGGGGCCGCAGGTGGCGGCGACGGGGCCGCAGGTGGCGGCGACGGGGCCGCAGGTGACGGCGACGGGGCTGCAGGTGGCGGCGACGGGGCCGCAGTCGGCGGCGACGGGGTCTCAGAGGGGCCGTAGAGGGGCCGCAAGGGGCCTAGACGGGGCCGCAGAGGGGCCGCAAGGGGCCTAGACGGGGTCGAAGAGGGGCCGCAAGGGGCCTAAACGGGGCAGCGACGGGGCCGTAAGGGGCTGGAAAGGGCGCCGCTAGCGTCGCGCTTGACGGCAGCGAGGACGGCCTCACCATGGTGCACAGGCGGACCCAGCTGACCGCAGAAGTGGATGTCGTCGACAACATCATCGCCGTTGGCTTCTTCGGCAACAATTGCCAGGAGCCCGAGTCTAACGAGGAGGAGTAAAATACCGGTAGTTGGTTCCTTGGTAGAAAGGTTTTTGTAAATGCCTATTAATTGAGTTCGAAGAAGGGTACCGTAGCTGTAATCCTTGGCGCTAGATTTCTAATGAAGTGCTTTGAGAGATGTTCATTCTTAGTGTTTTACCAAAAAAATATTTAAAAAAATGTTTTAAGGTATGTGCTTATAATAAGTGCGGCTATAAAATGGGTGTGAAATGAGTAAGCAGGAATGAATGAACTAGGAATGAAAGCAGTACAAATATGAAACCCTAACTGGGTTGTACCCCCTATGGGATACCCCACTACAGCCTACACAGCAGTATAAGCTATAGATATGTTCTGACACACCCCCATAGGCAAAGTGGGGGAGAACAAGGGGTCACAAGACCAGTCAAGCAAGACAAAGCAAAGCTCAGGGTGGATCACAAAGTCACCACACAGTCCGAGCACAAGAGCAAGGCCAAAGGCCAGTTCACAAGCAAGAGTACAGACATATATATAAAGCTAGACAAGCAAGAGCAGGTATATATATATGTCACAGTACAAGTGAAGTCAAGAGGAGAGCAAGTGAGGCAAGACAGGCACAAGACCCAGCTGGGTGCAGAAGCGCTGATGGTCACAAGGCGCAAGTGCCTTGGTGAACACATCAGCAGTGTTGGCCTCAGAGGCCACGTACGCAAGTCGCAACTGACCACGCTGCTGCAGCTCACGAGCAAGGAAGTAGCGGAGAGCAATGTGCTTCGTTCTGTGCTCCAAGCGCTGCTCTCGACACAAGGCCAGCATAGCCTTGTTGTCTACGTACAGCACTGGAGGAGAACGAGGCGGCTCTCCAAGGTCAGTCAACAGGTAGGTGAGCCAGCGAAGCTCCTGTGCAGCCATGGCCCCGGGGTAGATCTCAGCCTCACAACTGGAGCCGAGAACCGAAGACGAGCGAGTAGACCGCCACGAGACAGAGCCGGAACCAAGGCTGAAGGTGTAACCCTGTGACGACCGCTGCGTAGCCTGGTCGTCAGCCCAAGAAGCGTCCGCGTGGCCGGTAAGGACCACTGGACTCCGCCCTCCAAGCACTAGCCCCATGCCTGACGTACTGCACAGGTAGCGCAATACCCTCTTCGCTGCAGCCATGTGCTCCGGTCTGTGTCTCCCAGGAGCAACATAGCGTGCAAGAATGCTCAGAGGGTATGCAAGGTCAGGTCGTGTGCAGGTCATCAGGTACATGAGGCAGCCAACAAGCTCCGCATACGGACCACTCGACTCTACGGACTCATCCGAAGGCAGAGCTGAGAGTGAGTGGCGAGTAGGCAGAGGAGTGGCCTGAGGCGAGGAGTACGTGAAGCCGAAGCGCTGAAGGACCTGCTGCACCATGTGTGACTGAGTCAAGGTAATGGTGCGGCGTGCTCTGTCCCGAGTGATCTGCAAGCCAAGGTAGCTGCGCAGTTCACCCAGGTCTGTGCACGTGTGTCTCTTCAACAGCTCGGACTTCACGTAGGCGAGTCCAGCAGTGTCCGCTGTGGCAAAGACCAGGTCGTCGACGTACACGAGGATGTAGAACGGCGGCAGGGAAGTGTCGGTGCGAAGAAACAGCGACGGGTCAGCAGTAGAAGGAGCAAACCCAAGAGCCGCAAGCGTAGTCCTCACTGTGTTGTGCCACTCACGCGGTGCCTGGCGGAGACCGTAGACTGGCCGTCGGAGGCTCCACTGGGTGCCAGGAGGGAAAGTCCCAGTGAAGCCAGGTGGACGGCGAAGCCAGATCTCCTCGTGCAGGCTACCCTGCAAGAACGCAGTGCTGAAGTCGAGAGAGTGAAGCTCGTAGTCGCGCTGAGCGGCTATGTGCAGCAGCACCCGAAGAGTAGTCATCTTCGGGGTGGGAGAGAAGGTCTGAAAGTAGTCAACTCCCTGCCGCTGACTGAAGCCACGAGCAACGTACCGCGCCTTGAAGACAGGTGGAGAGCCCGGCGGCCGCTTCACCCTGAAGATCCACATGCCACTGACGATGTTCGCCCCAGGAGGGGGAACCGCGTCAACGTAGGTGCCTGTGGACTTCCAGGAAGCCATCTCTGCATCCATAGCTGCCTGCCACTGAGAGGAGTAGGGACCCTCTACGGCCTCCGCGTAAGAACGCGGAGTCGGGATGTCTAGTGCATCCGGGTCTCCCTCAGGGGCAAGCAGTACAGACGCGAGATGAGGTGAAGCAGTCGCTAGACACTGTAACTCCTCCTGCCTGTCCTCTAGGACGTCTGTGCCAAGAGCACACTCACCCCCGACGGACGGAGGACAGACAGACGCAGACTCAGCAACAAGACTAGCAGCGTAGTCGAGACGACAGCGAGCAGCAAAGTCGACGAGCTCAGTGACTAGAGTAGACGCAGCAGTGGACTCAAAAGAGGGGTCAGTGACGACAGTAGCAAGCAGACGCGTGACAGTGGGACTGGCAGCACGAAGAGAGTCCGACTCAGGGTCCGCAAGCGCAGGAAGAGAGGACTCAGGAGGAGAAGGCAAAGGGGCACGCAGAGGAGCAGTGGACGGACGTAAAGACATCCGGTGCGTGCCAGGGACAGGAGGAGGACGCTGACGCGAACTGCGACCACTAGCGCGAGCAGCACGAACAGGCGACGCGGGACGAGACGCAGGCTCACGACGCTCAGCAAGACCTCCAGTAGGACCAGTGTAAGGAGAGGGAGCAGGCAGCGGAGAGGAAGGCTCCAGTAGGGGCTGCGACTGGACAGGCGGTGGACCCTCTACTGGAGGAGAAAGACCAAGAACCTGCTGAAGGAGCGGAACGAAGTACGGCCGAGGCCGCGCGGCAGCTCCAGACTCAGCAGGGACAGCACCAGCACCCTCAGCGACAGCACCAGCGCCACCCACACCTCCAGCGGCAGGACCAACAGCAGCAGGCTCAGCACGAACGCCCTCAGCAGCTCCAGCTCCAGGAGGACCTGCAGGGCCAGCAGCTCCGGGACCGGCTGCACCCGCACCCTCGACGGTCGAAGAAGCTCCAGCTCCAGCTCCAGCAGCACCTCCAGACTCAGCAGCACGCCTCCAGCGGCGAGCGAACCACTCGCGCAGCTCCTGTGGAGAGAGGGGCTCCCGGCGAGACGCAGCAGCAGGAGAAACCCCAGGCTCAGCAGCTCCAGACGCAGCACCCCCAGGCTCAGCAGCTCCCAGCTCAGCACCCCCAGGCTCAGCAGCTCCCGACCCAGCACCCCCAGACCCAGCACCTCCAGGCACAGCACCCCCCGGCTCAGCACCCCCAGGCTCCGCACCCTCCGCAGTAGCACCCTCAGGCCCAGCACCCCCAGCAGTAGCACCCCCAGGCTCAGCACCCCCGCGCACAGCACCCCCAGAGTCAGCACCCCCAGGCTCAGCACCCGCAGCAGCACCAGAGTCACCAGTAACCTCGACCGGGTCAACGGCGTCTACCTGGGACACACCTGAGGGGGCAGGAACCTGAGGGGGGAGGGGGTCTACCAGGGGGGGAACCGGCACAAGGAAGTCCGGGGGAGGGGGGAGGGAAGGAGTGCGGTAGGGGAAGAGACGGTAGAAGGGGACTGACTCGTCGAACGTGACGTCCTGGGAGGACAGAACACGACGAGAGGAGGGGTGGTAAAACTGCCAACCTGGGGCGTCAGTGGGGAAGCCAAGGAAGACACAGGGAGCAGCACGAGGGGACAGCTTGTCCGCAGACAAGTCGCGGACAAACGCCCGAGATCCCCAGACACGGAACACAGACGCATCGCCAACCTTCCCCGTCCACAGCAAGGCTGGGGACATCGCTGGCCGAGAGACCCGGGGGTGAAGGTTGAGCTGATGCGCCGCGTACCTCACCGCAAACGGCCACAGAAAATGGGGGGCAGCCGCATGCATCATGGACGTACGAGCGACATCCATGACCATGCCAATGCGGCGCTCAGCAATCCCATTTTGCTGTGGTGAGTCCGGAAGCGTGAAGGTCTGGCGGATCCCCCGTGCACGACAGTAGTCTCGCAGAAGGCGAGAAGAGAACTCTCCGCCTCTGTCAGAGTGCAGACGCAGAACAGGAAAGTCCGAGCCGAAGCTCTTCCTG